AGATGTCTGCCTCCACGGGAGATAAGATGGATGCCCCACCTGGAGACCAGATGTCTGCCCCACCTGGAGACCTGCCCCCCATATAACTGGCCTGTAATCTTTGTTCTGTAAGATGGTTCTTTCGGACATGAGTTGCCATCTTCCCCCTTGCTAGCAAGCTGTACTAAGGAGTCCTTTCTCTCCTGCCTCCTTGCCTCTTGATTATTGGCACATCTTGCAGCGGGCAGACAACCCCCCTTTAGGCAGTAACAATCTCACAGTCTCCACTCATTTTCAAAGTGACTTAGATCAGCCCTTTCCCCCCACCCGCTTCAGTGAGATGGTTTTATACATTTGTAAAACACATAGATTATTTGGTCACAGTCTGCATTCCTTCCTGAGATCCCCCAACCTCCTAAAAGATAATTTTTTTTTTTGCTGAAGAAGATTTGCCCTGAGCTAACATCTGTGCTGATCTTCCTCTATTTTGTATGTGGGTCGCTGCCACAGCATGGCCACCGATGAGTGGTGTAGGTCCATGCCTGGGAACTGAACCCAGGTCACCAAAGCAGAGTGCACGGGGCTTACCCACTAGGCAACTGGAGCTGGCCCCCTAAAAGATAATTTTTAAATTTGTATATGTTATGGTTTGCTCTTTCTGCTGTACAGTTCTCTGGGTTGACACATGCAGAGAGTCACATATCCACCATTACAGTATCAGACAGAGTAGTTTCATGGTCCTAAACATCCCCCAGGCTCCCCCTAGTCAGACACCCCCCCCCAAACCCCTGGCAACCACTGATCTGTTTACTGTTTCTATATTTTTGATTTTTCTGGAATGTCATATAAATGGAATCATATGGTATGTAGCCTTTTTCAAACTGCCTTCTTTCACTTAGCAATATATATTTAAGGTTCCTCCATGTCTTCTCATGGCTGCATAGCTCTTTCTTCTTTAGCTCTGAATAATATCCCATTGTCTGGATAGATCACAGTTCATTTATCCATTCATCTACAGAAAGACATCTTGGTTGGGGCCGGCCAGGTGGTGTGGTGGTTGGGTTTCCACATTCTGCTTTGGCAGCCGGGAGTTCGCCAGTTTGGATCCTGAGCGGGGACCTATTCACCACTCATTGAGCCATGCTGAGGTGGTGTCCCATGTGGAGGAGCTACAACTCTACAACTATGCTACACAACTATGTACTGGGGCTTTGGGGAGAAAAAAGAAAAAAAAAAAGAGGAAGATTGGCAACAGATGTTAGTGCAGGGCCAATCTTCCTCAAAAAAAAAAAAAAGACATCTTGGTTTCCAGTTTTTGCCGATTGTGAATAAAGCTGCTATAAACATTCACATGCTGGTTTTTGTGTGGACATAAGTTTTCAACTCCTTTGGGTAAGTACCAAGGAGCTTGACTGCTGGATTGTATGGTAAGACTATGTTTGGTTTTGTAAGAAACCACCAAACTGTCTTCCAAAGTGGCTGCACCGTTTTGTGTTCCCACCAGCAATGGATGAGAGTTCCTACTGCCCCACATCCTCGCCAGCATTTGGTGGTGTCAGTGTTCCAGATCTGGGCCGTTCTCATAGGGGGGTAGTGGTATCTCACCGTTGTTTTAATTTGCAGTTCCCTAATGACATATGCTGTGGAGCATCTCTCCACGTGCTTCTCTGCCCTCTATATTTCTTCTTTGGTGAGGTATCTGTTCAGATCTTTTGCCCATTTTTTAATTGGGTTGTTTGTTTTCTTATTGTTGAGTTTTAAGTGTTCCTTGTATATTTTGGATGCCAGTCCTTTATCAGATATGTGTTTTGCAAAGACTTTCCCCCAGTCTGTAGCTTGTCTTCTCATTCTCTTAGTGTTGTTCACTGAGCAAACACTTAAAATTTTGATACATTCCAATTGATCGTGTTTTTCTTTCATGGACCATGCTTTCCATATTATATCTAAAAACTCATCACCAAGCCCAAGGTACGACAGATTTTCTCCTGTTTTCTTCTAGAAGTTTGGCACTTTACAACTAGGTCTGTGATCCCCTTTGAATTAGTTGTTCTGTAAGAGATCCCATGACAGGGTTCTGAAAAGCTACTTACCCGCCACTATCCACCACAGGCACTTGCATTTTGAAGTTGACATCTGCATTTCAACAGATGTTTAAATAGTTGCGAAGGGTGTGATTTCTGTTGTGTTGTAAATACTGAGTTAAAACAAAGGCTGTGCTAGCCCTTTTTGCACGAGACCAATGGCACCGAAATCCCCCGGGGCACTGATACCTGTGTCTGTCTCAAACCCCTTGCGCTGGCTCTTCGTTCTCCGCTCTCTTTGCAGGTGGACCGTTTTCCTCCTGCCTCCGCTGTTCCTCTGCTGCCCCTCAGGTGGGTCTGCTTGTGCCATCTTTCTCCACGTGGGCAGACTTTTATTACCCATACGTTGTACTTCTCCAAAACGCAAATGTAGGTAAATTACATTTCTTGTTATAACCCCTGACCAGAGGGCTCTGATAATGTTTCTTCTGGCTTGACCAAAGCAGTGGCAGTGTATTAGACACATTGACGCAGAGTTAGGAAATGAGCAAGTCAGAGGGGCCGCAGGCGGTGTCCATGAGTCCAGGTGCCTGTAAAGAGTAGGACCTGTTGCTAGCGTTTGCTGTGGCTCACCATCGGTTCCAGTCCTTTTTTTTTTTTTTGTCTTTTCCAGATGTAAGCCCTAGGAAACCCTATTCACAGAGATGAGCAGTTGGGAGGGGGGCCACGCTGCTGAGTGCTGGGGCCCCTGGAGCCTTCTTAAGTGAACTGGGAGGGCTGATTGGGAAAGACCAGGGAGAGGGGAACTGATTTTTAGACAGAGTACATATGAGAGTTTCCAGAGTACATCCGGAAAGATGACTGTTAAAAACCTCTGCCTGCCCCGTTGACCCTCTTGAAGACTTTGTGTCACACCAGGGGCCTACAGACCCCTGTGAAGATGGATTCTGCAGGCCACTCCTGGACCCTGCGACTCTGTGGAGCCCCTGTGGCACTGGCCTGTGGGGCTGTGCTCCTGTCAACAGCCAGGACACCTATCTCCCCCATCCCTGGTGGAGCCCGGACCCCCTGGGAGGGGCGCCAGAACCAAGATGGGACTGGATGGGAGGAATCCACTAATTGTTGGGTGAAGGATTGAATTCAGTCACTCAGCACTCATTTCCTGAGCGCTTCCCCTGGGCCGGGTCAGCAGAGACACTTTCCGGGAGCCAATGTTCTGGTGAGGAAGACGAGACAAAGAAGGTGATTTTTCGTGCTGGATGTTCTGAAGACAGGGCAGGCAGAATGATATACTAGAGCATGGGGGGAGCAGGGGAGGCCTGTTTGAGGAGGTAACATTTGAGCTGAGACCTAATGGAGTGAGGGAGCAAGCCAAGCAGATATCTGAGTGAAGAGCATTCCAGGTGAAGAGGCAGCAAGTGCAAAGGCCCTGGGGTAGGTGTGTGTGGTGTGTTTGAGGCCCAGTTAGGAAGCCAGTGTGGCTGGAGCTGGCTGGAGCTGCTTGAGCAAGGGGGACAGTGGGTGGAAAGGGGCCAGAGCAGGAGAGGGGAAGGGGCACTCATCATGCAGAGCTAGCCCTTAGGCCACTGTGAGGATTCATGCTTTGACTTGGAGTGACATGAAGATCCGGGGGAGGGTTTGGAGACCAAGGGTGACATGCTCTCAAAGCGAATGCTCTGGCTGCTTCGTGTGGTCAGAAGGCAGAGGGAGCCCAGTGAGGAGGCTGTGGCTGTTGTCCAACTGTGTGCTGATGGGGGCTCAGACCAGAGTGGCAGAAGTGGCTTTGGCAAGGCTGGGGCTAGGGAAGGAGGCTGTTTTAGACCAAATGGCCTGGACGGCCTGTCTGCAGAGAGGACATTAGAACAGAGACCCGAAGGCATGCAGAGGGCCATGTCAACATGTGGGTGAAGAGACTTCCAGACGGAGGACACTTGTGGTGCAAAGGCCCGGGGGCCGGCCCAGCTAGGCCGCCAGGGGGCTGGAGCAGGCGGGAACCGGTATGAATGACTCAGGAGGGAGGCGGTAGCGGCCGGCCGATTGCCTTACAAGGCGCCCTGCAGCGCTGCAGCCGCTGGGCCACCGCGCGCTCGGCCTCCAGCAGCCGGCGGGGACGCGCGCGGAGGG